GCATGACATGGCAATATTTTGTCATCCAAGCAGCCAAGCGGAGTGTGTCCTCAACGGCAGTTAAGTCAGGCAAGCAATCCCAAACGGCAGTTAAGTTGGCGTAAGAAGAAGGGCTTAATTGCTTTGATCCCAGAGTTCAAGGGCTTAACTGCATCAATTAAAGTCTAGGGGTTTAATAGCGATTCTGGGGTTAGTTCAGGGGCTTAACTTATGGTTTTGCCTTGTTTTTCCCTTTTGTTTTTGTATAATCTAATTTGTAATAACTTCTTTGAAGCTGAGATACTCTGTTGGCTGTTCAACTAAAGTTTGATGTCCTTAATATATGTTTCTATCACATTCTTCATTTTCTATTTTAATTGAATTCCCAATTTGTTTATTAAAAGCTTCCAGATTTAGACTAGGAGAGAAACATAAACCCTAATTTATAGTCAAATGCTCACGAGATGTACTGTAGGACTAAAATCATCAGTTTTGATATGACTCTCTTTTTGTGTTTCCTCACAAAAATGGTGGAGGGTTCATCAGTTTTGATATGACTCTTTTTTTGTGTTTCCTCACAAAAATGGTGGAGGGTTCATCAGTTTTGATATGACTCTTTTTTTGTGTTTCCTCACAAAAATGGTGGAGGGTTAGAGATTTATATCGGCAATCAGGGTGATTTCTTTTCTCCCTTCCCTTGTTTCTTCATCTCCAGAAATCACAAAACTGGAAATCAGTTTTGTTTTATGTGACTAATTATATAATCTCATAGCTTTTCAACTTTTCTTCAAGCGTTTGAGTTAAAAGTGCTGCTGATTCACATCAAAGGTAAGGTCTTGTTTTCTCTGTGCAGTGGGTATGTTTAAGTTATGTGATAGGTCTGTTTATCTCAATGGAAACAACAATCTAAGCAAATCTCTTCTGCATGTTTTTGTTCCAAGTGACTCATTAGTAGATGATGATGATTTGTTTGGTTGCTCTTTTAATCTTTATGAGAATCTAAAGACTAGCGTGGATAATCTAATAGTAGCCATGTCATTAAGGTAACAAGAGCAAGATGCAGAGCCATAAGATGATTTTTGATTTTGTTAGAGCAATTCCATCATATGCTTGATAACATTTTCTTGCTGTTGGTGCTGCTGTTTGAGTCATTTGAAGATGATGAATTATCAACTATTTCTTTTTAATAAATCTTTTCCAAGAATTTGAAATTAATGATATAATAGTAGTTAATACAGTTGTTAACCTTCACTTCTTTACTTTTATTTATAACTGTAGCATCATTTGCCAAATTTGCAATGCAATATTTAAATAAACAGATGAGGTGGTTCCAATGGTCCTTGCCAAAGCCAAAAGGATAAACATGGATGATTAATTAAAATTAGAGAAACAAGATCATAGTTTTTCTTTGGCTGTCACTGGTCTATATAGTTAGTTGTTCAGAGCCACACAGTTCATATTAGATTGGTGTGTTTAGATGGCTTGTTCTTTCGTTTTATATCGTGTACTAGTTTGTAATGAGTTGCTTTGAAATTGAAATGCAATTTGAATTCTGTAGGTTTTAAGTCAACCAATTTTGATGCAATCCATATAGGTTTCTTTCACATGCTTCATTTTCAATTTTAATTGAATTTCGAATTCCCTTAGCAAAAGTTTTCGAAGTTACATTAGAGAGAAACATAAGAAGTCCCGGTGTGGAAACCCTAATTCAGAAATTTAATATTAATATAAAGATCTTATCTTTAAATAATCGGAGGGTCAACAGTTGGGCATGTACGGATTTATATTA